TAGGATATCTCTGATACTGGGACTGATAATTTATTCCGGCCGAGCAAGAGGGAGGTACATGCGTTTAACAAGCGAGCATTCGGGCATAAATAAGACACGGCGTGTTAATTTCGTAAATAAGTAAGTCGACTGGCTTTCGAGGCCACGGGACGAAGTTTCAAGACGTTTCAAGACGTGTTATCGGCGCGTAAACGTTTTACACACGTTGTCTTAACGCGCGCGGAAAAACGAGGCACGACGAGGAGCCGTATGTATATTTTAGCCGAGAGAAGGATAGCTTTAGGACTCATAACGGCGTATTTTCGTGCATCGTAACTTCGCTGCGAGTGCACTTTGCACACAAGGAACATAAACTCGAATTGAGTTTGCCAATGCCAAACTCCCCTAAAAACACACCGCGTACCACCGCGTGCGAGCGCACCGCGCACGTCTCGCGGAAGTTCGCGTGGCTTTCACGGGACTTATATAATATAACGGCATTTTGTGGTAAACACCGGCGGTTAGAGTATTACACCGCGGGAAGTTGCAGTCGCGACGAAGTGCCTCGCTTTCGAGCGCACCGAGAAATAGCGTAGCGTCTCATCCGAGGCCGCGCGCGCGCGTGCGATGTCCTTTTTATGGCTGACCTTTACTACCGGCGGAATAAAAAGTGTCGCAAAAGTGTCGCAGTTAACGCGATTTATCGATAAATCGCCGCAAGAGAGTCCACCCCGGCGCGTTTTCCAATTTGATTCACCTCTAGGAGGATCTATGAAATATCGTAATTGATCGACATCACGCGGAAAGAGAAACGGCTGACGGTTTGTCACCGCACGGTGATTTTCGACGTGGAGGGGGGGGGGTGTGCAGGGACCCCGAAATTAATGACGCGCGAATGTAAATGAATGCGGAAATGTGCGCAAGAGTAACGCTTGTACCGTTCAAAGCGCGCAATTAGTAACAAACGTGGCTATTTGGCGCGCGGGGGGGTTTCATCAGGACGGATTGTAAACGGGACATCGGAATTCACCGTCTCGAATAATTCGATTCGGCGATCGCGCCGAATTTGCCGAAAACCGTGTGTTTCACAATCTGTATTTTAACGCCGAACGAACGAACGCGTGTTTTCCCCCCCGCGCGCGTTTCCCGACATATGTATGCAAATAGTGAAAAAAATCATTGTTGCTGACTAATATGTTTCAACATGTACGATGAATATGCGAGGGCGCGACGCATACAAAGCGCGGAGGCTATGTTTTATTCATTATCGCCGAAACGTGCTTTCGTGTTTTTGGCGGAAATAAATCCTCATATTTTCAAAGTCGCCTCCCGCCGATGAGACATCGAAAGATCTCTCGCAATTTAACATAGCGCGGGATACGCGACCGGGGATGCACGATAACTATTTAAAGTACCTAGCCTTCCGAATGCCGCGACAACGATGTAATATTTCATCGCTTCGGAGCTGTTTACTTAAACGTTTTAAAGGGAGGTTTTCATTACGACATTCCCCTCAAGGAATCTTCCGCGACGCTATATACATTGCGTAACACCGCGCGCGCGCGCTCGAGTAATTATACATCAAAGACGGGAGGCGGCGGCGGCGGCGAGTGACGTTGCGGCACAATTGGTGATTAATATTATCAACAAATAATTGATTTCAAAGCAGCTCGATATTTCCATTTTGCGCATGTCATTATGTAGATAGGACAGAAGCGTCCCGCGCGTAATTAGCCGGGGAATATATCCGCAACGAAATTATTTTAATATCATTTCCACTCTCCGGGATATGCCGGTCGTGTTTAATAACGCGCGTATATTTAATGCGGGCGTACCGGTAATACACGATATGAATTGCAACGCGCGGATAAAAAGCCGCGCCGCGAGCTTTTTCAACTTTTCAGCAAAGCGCGGACATATGGAATACAATTTCCTCGATTTTTAATTATACATCCTGAATAGAGATCGCGCGCCACGCGTGCAATGAGTCGCGGCGAATCCGACGGATTTTCGCCTTCGATCTTCATTATGACTGTTATGAGCGTCGTAAGAGCGCCGCCCCGCCTGTACCGTTTAGCATTTAATTTGGCGAACACTTGACCGACGTGTATACTCCGGAGCTTCGGACGGACACTCGCATTTAGCGCTAAATTCCAGTCCCGGGCTCGCAGTCACCGAAGTTTCGCGAATTTTCGCGACGGAAGGAGGAGGGAGACGCAGGTACATACTCTCCAGCTTTAAGCGGACTAAATTACTCGGTTCTTGCGCGGCACCCGCCACCGCCGCGCACGGCACAATCAATATCGATCCGCGTGTTTTTCGAGCGACTCGTTAACGCAAGTCGTCCTCTCGAAAACTTTCCCGTCTTTCCCCATCACGTCCACGTGTATATATGTATGTGCGCGCGTATACATACTTCCCGGATAAGTTTTAATATCCGCGGGAAGGAGAGCTGGCTCGAGACTACGACGGAGACGAGATTTCGCAAGTACCATACCCTGATACAACTTCAAATCGTCCCTACCAGAATTTCCTGCACGACCACATGGCCCGATGGACAGGGAAGTTCTCAGAAGCTTTTCTCCATTTCGTCACTCCGCCGGGCATCTCGCGATCGGATCGGATTTCCTTAGCGCCATCGGTAAATTTGCTTTTCCTTATACTAGCGACTCTATACAATACAGCGGGGAAAAAAAAGAGAAAGAGCTAAGAGATAAATTCTTCAGAATTACTCGACCCGAATTCCATCGTACGCTTCGCGGGGGTCGTACTCGAGTGGGGAACGGTTTCTTTTTTTCCAGCGTCTTCCTCTTCTCATCCTTTCGCAGGATCCTCCGTTACGAGAGCGAAGGGGGCGCGGCGCGGCGCTAAAAACCCTCTCATTTCGCCCTCGTATTTAATTAAACGGATCGGACGAGTTAATTACGATACCGGCGACCCCAACTGCTAATATTTACGCCAGCCGAGGCTACCCGAATGATTGTTATCCTTGATCGCCCGCGTTCCCCTCAGAAGTAGAGCGTATCGTACGCGGTGCGCCGCCCTTCATCGATTTTTTTCCCCCCTCGCGACAAGATACTTATCCCGGGAGAAATGTAACGCGGTAGTAAACGTAATAGAAATATCAGAAAATTGTGTAGCCAGGTGGAAAAGTGACACGGGTAATAACCGATCGGCGTGGGAAAACGATATTGTTGTACATTTAGGTCGCGGCCGAAAAAGAAAGGGAGAAATTACTTGTAGGACAATAAATAAGCAGAATACGAGCGCAGGACTGGATCTTGATTGCCTAATAATATTTCTTTGCGTTAACTTATGCGCAATTTATGTATTGCACTTTTCTAATATACCTATGCTAATGTACTAGCGTAATTAAATTGATTATATCAATTTTATTGACGGTACTGCTCTAGCCTTAGTCGAGATTACGTTTCAAATCCGAGAATAACGGCGCGTGGTTTGCCAGGGCGATGTGAATTGTACATAAATTCACGCGAAAAATATTATTAGGCAACCAAGATCCTGTCCTGACCGTTTAGCGGCCTTTTCTTAACCCTTCGTCCGCATAGGTGGGTCGTTTTCGTCCGGGCGAAAATCAAATGTAGTTGTAACTTTTGCAAACGCGTAGAAATGGCGCCACTGCGCATCCATAAAAAAAGTTATGCTCCCCGAGAACCCGCCTACCGAGTTTCAAGGCGCCAGACCCGCTCCAGCCGTCACAGGAGACACGTAATTCTTGAAAAAACGAGGTTGGCGACAAACACTTAAGCACTTCATTTCAAAATAATTGCATGCAATATTTTTTTTATGAAAGGTACGTTTTTTCCCTTCAATTTCTTTTTTTATTCATTTCGATATCTTTATTTGTCTTAAAGTTATGATTTTTTGAGTAAAAGATGATTTTACAAGTTGTAGTTGTAGTTGCTCCATTTCTTAAATAAAAAATATGTGAAAAAATTAAATTGCTTATAATTTTATGATTGATACTTCAAATTGAAGGTTTGAATTACCTCCATGAATTTTTTCAGATTTTTTATAACACTTTAACACTTAAAAAAAAACGTCAAGACGAAAACGACCCACCTATGCGGCGTAAAGGTGCCAAAAAAACGTATGCGGACGAAGGGTTAATTTACTCGTAGGACGTTCCATATTCTCCTCGCCGTCGTCTCCACTGAAAATTTCCCATATCGAATCCCGTATTCGCATCCCGTTCTCCAAGTATTTCGAACACGTTGCACGCGTTTCGCGGATCCGCTAATTCACTCGTAACAACCTCCCTTTACCCGTTTCCAGGCTGATTATCCATCTGTGCGGCAACCGAACATTATACCGCCGCTATCTGCGACCGTTGCATTCCGGCGCGTCGTTATGCGGACCGTAACGACCGGGAGGAGGGGGGCGGGCCGGGGATGAAAGAAAGGGTGAAAGGAGCAGAAAAAAAATCCGGCACCGCCTGATGAATACGGGATAAGCAGGCGGACGTCGTTTCTTCTCTCGATACTCGACAGGTACCTGGACCGGAAGGCGTCACCTGCCGCGGTATAAAAAGAGAGGGAGAGGAAGCTTTTTTTTCCTCCCGCCACGTTTTTCGATTCGCGTCGCGTCGGCCGCACGCGAAACTCTGCGCGAGCGAGAGTACTTGGCGAGACTACAGATTTCCATAAAATTATTACACGCTCGTGCGCTCATGCCAAAAAAATTTGCATACCGCGCGCGCGACAGAGAAAGGGGGGGGACCGAAATAAAAAGATTCCAGGGGCTTCCGCCGTTTCCATTCCGCTCTAATCGCGTTTTCGTGTCCTCGCTGCGCGAACGGCGACACGAGTTCTTTCGCGAGAGATACTTGCCGTTTTTTTTTCTCTCTTCCCTCGCGTCGATGCGGCGCGAGCGCTTATGGTCGTCCCGGATACAGTTCGATTTTCCGTGCGTTGGGAAAATTCTTAAGGGAACAGGGAGCGACGTGTGCTATAGCGATGGAAGAGATGGAAGTGATAGGAGCGATCGTCAAACAAGTTCTCTGCGTTATTCCTTTTAAAAATTTAATATATCTCCATGCTATCTTACATTAATGTCGCAACGACATACAGATAATATTGCGATTATTAAACATGATGTTGGTATACAGTTAATCTTCATCAATATAATACTATTCAGTTTAAATCAATACCGAGCTCCCGCCCGTTCGTAAATTCGCCTTGTCGAAGGAAAATGTTATAAAATAAATTGTCGATATATTTACATGATTCTATTGCGAGATTATATGTTATTAGACACTGTCCCTATATCGTCATCATGTTTAAAAATAAATTGAGACACGTATGAAGATCGCGACACCGAAATGGAATCTCATTTAAATTAAGTACTCTTAAGACAGTGTGTCTCAAATGCAAAGTGTTCTTAAAGGATCTTTCGACACGTTAGCCCGTTCTAAAGGAATATTAAAATACTATAAATCGTGCAGAATGTGAATCTCTTCCCGAAAAGGCAGAATCAGTGCTCGAAAACCCGATATTCATATTTTTACAATCGCGTTCTACGCATTTTTTTTCTCACTGGCCATAACTTCGAATTCAAGATGGATAAACGATTACCGATTCCGACCCCCTCGAGAGTATGCTACGCGACTATTCTCTTCTAGTCGTCGTATCCGGGCATGACGTAGACACCCGAGATCCTGAGATACTCGTCGGCTCCGTTGACGAACAGCTAATTCGTCCGCAGCTGATAATCCCCGTTCTGCGTGATGTAACGCACCCACGGCAGCGCCTGGTAGCCGCTCTTCTCGATGATCTTCAGGTATCGCACCTGAATGCCGGACGTGGTGAAATACGGTATCTCGAACTTGACCTGTATGGGCGGTTTGCCCTCGACGTCTTCGCCGACTACCGACGGTAGCCCGAAGTGCGCCCGCATCAGGTACTCTTTGCCGCCCGGGAAGGACTTGATGATCCAAGTGATGGCGCTCTGCTCCGGCGAGTACTTGACGCTGCCGATCGTGGTCTTGAACCTGGGCGAGTCCGCGTCGTTCGGCACCGGGATCACGATCTCCACGTTGTTCGCCGTGGAACGGCGCTTGAACTGCGATCTCGCCTTTATCATGTACTCCACGCGGCTGTGGGCGTGCCGCTCGATCACGGATTCGATCCATATCAGCGGTTTCACGTGCGTGTTCAATCTGTACGACATGAGCTCGAACTCGCCGTCCGGCGGGATGAACGAGATCGTCCGGTCGTTCTCGAACCGGGAAAGTCTCACGCACTGGTGAAACTTGACGTCCTCCAGTTCCACGGATTTCGATTTACCGCGGCCCGTCGACTCGAACAGGACTTTGTCGTTCAGGCCCAATCTCAATTCCGGCATCCCCGACAGGTAGACTCTCATCTTTATGGCACCAACGATCTCCGAGCTTAAGACATTGCCATTGGCGTTCGCCAGAAGGTTCACGGATTCTATCACGTCGAGAAAGACCTCGTTCTTGCGATACTTGATGCCCTCCGAGCGCCACGAGACAGCGTTGGTCACCGCCATAGGGATCCTGGGTTGAATCTCCAGCTTGTGACCCTCCTGAGTTATATATTCCTGCAAAATCTTGCTGTCGGTGGTCTGAGGATAGCCAAAGTCCAGTAACTCGTCCAGGAGCTCGTAAATAACGACAAAGTTGTCCCTTATACTCTCCTCCTCCAACTCCTTAAAATACTCCTGCATGACGTGCACCACTTTGTGCAGAAATACAAATACTAGGGATATGTTCGCGTTCTTTTTGGTAGTCGACACAATATATAGATTGTTATATTTTATATAAGCGTATGTACATTCCGGGGTCTGAATGATGGGCGTAAGATTGCCCTCCTCCTCGCGCTCCATCACCAGCGGCATGAACTTTTCTATGACACCGGTCTCGATGTCGCCGCGGTAGTTCCGCGAGATCAGCACCTTGCCCTTCACGTCCAAAATGTATATTGCTGACGTCGACATCTTGTCCCGGGCTGCAAGCAAAGAGGAAGAGAGGTTAACTTTATTACTCACATTAAAAATCCTTTTAAAAAATACAAAAAAAAACTACACGTGACGTTCGACATGTCCAAGTAAATTTATTAAAAGTATAGTCGTTACTGTCTAACTACCGGGACTGTCGAACACAGCCGATGCCACTCGAGCGTTTAGGTTAGGATCGCCAAAGTGAGAATTTCAAGAAGAGATTCATGAGATCGTTCGCGGAAATGATTAGCTCGCATTCTGTCGAGGAGAAATAGCGGAAAACGAGGCGATAATAGATCATACAAGTTAACTTGACATTCGGCTGTGCGTCAATTTCTCGATGTACGAGTAAACTCTTGGAGGTTCTACCGATACTCACTCTGAGATGTACGACGCTGCGAATGAATCCCCTAAGTGCGCCTTACGTATCGTTTACATTTAGATACTTGACTTTTTCACGCGAATTGACGCGAGAAAATTGAGCGACGAAATAGCAAACCCAACACCTCGCGCTTCCGGGCTGCCACTGTGGACCGTCGCGAAGTTGTCCGTGGTCCGCGGACTCCGCGGTTGCGTCGCCGCGCGCATGCGTCGGCAGCCAACTTCAGGCGGTATATCGACCGCGACGGGCGCGACGCTGCCCGCCGTTCGAACGTCGTGAAATAGAGATGCTCGTGTATAAACTTGAGACGATCTTAAATATAAACTAAGCTCTGACTATGAATACCGGCCTTTGTTATTAAGGTATGACGAATCCATTTAAGACCGCAGAAACTTGTACAGCAATGTATTCCGATTAAATATTAATATGTAACAAGTATATGTGTGAAATAATAGAGAAAGGTTCGAGTCCCTGAGCGAATGGAACAAGTAGGTTAGTAATGGAAGGTTAAGTGAAAAATACGGCATGCAAACAGATAATATGGATGTTATCTATGAGTCGAATTTATCTCGCATTAAGGTTACCTGTTCACTCACCACTACTATCTCAGATTGTGATTTTAGAAGTGAGAAAATATACAACAAAAATTCTTGATAAATATATTAAAATGGAAATAAAGCAACACTTACAATTGATAGAACCAACTTTGTAAAATATATTAAAAAATTATCTTTTTGTTTCGGAGAGGAATTAAATCATATTTATTTCTGTATATTATCTATTTAACAGCTGTCATTAGCTGTGAACATATAGCTTATTTCGTTTTTAATTATGCATAATTCATTTGCAGAACGGTTAGTCATTAATTAGTGAAACAAAAAGAGAGTTTTTTTTATTCAGATAAAAAAGGACCATGGGGAGAGCCCATATGGTCTACATAGGTAGGCAAATTCATTTGTTACGCAACACAATTTAAAACTTAAAGCCGGTTTTCATGAACGCCTCAATAAAAGCGTCCCAATCATAATAGGATTAACATAAAAATTGTGATTATAAAATGTAATGAATAAATATCTAAAAAGGGAATGTCATTCCTTAGAGGAAGAGACATCCACGCATCCGCGCGCAAAGCCTTGAAAAAGAGAGTTTTCGGTATATTTTAAAGTCAGTTCTATATATCGATTGTTATAAGTGTTGTTTTATTAAAATATATTTTTATTTTAATATATATTTAGCAAGAATTTTTATTGTATATTTTCTCGCTTCTGACGTCACAATCTGAGATAGTAGTGAGTGAACAGGAGCCTTTAACTGCCTTTAAGCACAAAAGAGAGACACTTTAAAAATATACAGATGATCCTCGAATAACACGGTACTTGAATTGCACGGAGTCTCGAATAGCACGGTAAAAAATTGTGACAACACTACTTTTAAAGTTTCTTTTTTAATATTATATAATCTCTTGGAACCAAATGTCCAATTTTATATGGATCTAAAGTCTTGAATTGCACGATTTTTAATTATACGGAACATGTCCAAAATTGTATGAATCTTAAGTCTCGAATAACATGGTTTTCAATAACATGAACTAATTAATTGTGTTATATTCGAGGCTTACCTATATAATATAAGTAATAAAATATATTATATATAATATATATATATATACACACTTTAAACCTCGTTTTCTCTAAATTTATAATAATGGAGATATGATATTCTCTATCTCTAAGGTACAAATATATATAATTAATTTTTGTATATAATATATTATTTACACATTAATTTTTTTATCATGTATATGTATGTGTGTACATATTATCTACAATAATATGTACATTAAAGTAATTACGTTATCTTTAGAATATTTTACGCGGAATAGCGTACCTTTATCCCATCTCTTTTTAATTCGTCTACATGTAATTCGTGGAGAGGAAAGGGATTTAAGTAGGAGATCCGAGGAAGGAGGAATACCGATAAAACTACACTACGTTCTTTGTCCGTTAATCCAGACTCATTCGGGCGGATACAAATATTTCTAAAATCGCGCTTAATACAGCAACGGAGATAAATCCGGTCTAAGGCATTTTAATCTGTACTCCGTGTTTCACGAAACATTAAATCCTGCTTGAAGCCGTTTCGCAGAAAGCGCGCGCAGTATCTCCAGCAAAGTAGCGCCTTCCGACATTAAGATTCTATACAACTGGAAGTCATTTAATCTCGGCGGAAGATTTCAACGTCGGCTACTTCGCGAGGAAAGGAGTGATAGCGCACTGTATATAGGATATCCCGTTTAGAGTTTGAAAACAGAAAATAAAAGCGAGACTGTTGCAAGGCAAATTCGACAAACGAGAATCGCGCACCGTTTTCATCAGCATGGGCTCTTCACAGATCGCGTTTATTATAAAGATCGTTTGCGGAATTTAAGTAATATAACGAACGGATATAAAAAAATAGATTATTTCAAATAGCTTTCGATATACCAAATGCGAGCTAATTAAATTAAAATTCTCTCTCTTTGCCTCTCTTTGCCACTCTTTTTCAACGAGATAAGATCAACTTTCGCGAGTCCGATGAATTAAATATCGCGGAACGTTATATAGCAACGCGAAATCCGCCGCTCGAACTTCTCGCGGATTCAAATTTTATTCGCGAAGTCTTGAGTTTCGCAAATATTTCCCAAGTCGTAAACAACTCGCGTGTTCACCGCGCTAACGCATCAGAGTGCCATCGATTTTCTAGCGTTGCCGCGCCGCATATGCCGATAGACGCGACGGTATGTATCGGCTGCATTAAACCGGCTGCAAATATACGTCGATAGTGATTGCCGGCTTACAGATTCCGCTAAAATAAAATGTCCTCGCGCGCGCGCGCTTTTCCGAAAAACTTCGACACGCGTTACACCGCGTAGCATCGCGTTGCGCGGCATAAAAGCGCATCGACGGAACGTAAGCCAGAGCAATTTCACGAAATGTTGGTAAATACCCTTGCTACCTCGCGTTTCCCTCTGTTACTCATCGCACAGCGTTATAACGCGACGTCGAGTAAACAAAAAACGAGAAACGTTATCTTTTCGCGACCGGCTAGTTTTCGATGGAATTCCGAATTTTTGGCGAATTGTTTCGCGTGCCGCCGCGCTCGAAACGCGATTTGCGTTTCGGCGCGTAAAAGCTCGGCTCCCCCCGTCTAATCGATTTAACGTTTATAACGGGCATCAAAAGGCGCACTTCCGGCCGTCCGAAAATCACCGCTATTCGGTGATATTCGTTCAACTGTTCACAGGCGGTCGGGTCCAACCGTGTTATCTGCGGTCAGCGTGACGTACCCCCCATTACGTGCTTCGATCGCGCTTATTTTCGCTTGCAGAGGCGCGATACCAGCGAGGCAGCCCCCTCCGCGGTTTTGCAGCCCGGTTTTAGAATAACCGAAAGGGCCATTGCGTCGAGCGGCTTTTTAACGGTCTAGCCACATCAATCGTACTTACGCAAATTACTGCACCTGCGTTTTTTTTTTTTTTTTTAAGGACCGGCTTTCGGCTGAGGCTCTCTAATTCGTGGCTAACGAACGCGAATAGAACACGAAATGAGAACGAAAAATAAGATTGTCATACGTCAACACTGCATTTCTCTAGAAGAAGGCGTCATTTATATTATATTGCAATTTTATAATTATATCTCTTTTTATTCTGAAATATTTTATTCTGTCATTTTATTTAAATATGCGATATAAGCGTCGTGAACGCACGATTTATAATAGCGACTCTAAGAGCGGACGATTATTTTTTCATTTCCTTCATTTTTTTTAGATCTTTTTTTTTACAAAAGATAATGAAATTATACCAGGGTAATTTTTCTACCGCGGACGGTATTTTAATTGCGGTGATTGACACGCGCGTCATAATTTATGTCGCGTAAAAAAAAAGAAAAAACGCGACAATATTTATGGATTAAACGACCGCGACCGTGGCTGACGAGATATATACAGGACATCCCCTCTAATGAATACATTAACGAGCGATGAACGGTCGTGGTCCTACGCGTTCGCGCGTGTGATCAAGTTCCCCGGTTGTTTTAGCATAAAATATTGAACAGATACTGATCGAACGGCGGCGCCGATCGTATGCATCCCAGATGTGTTTGCTCAATAAACATTTCCCAGTATTTAGGAAAACAGGCTTGGCCCGGGACGAGTGTTCTCTCGTCGCGAATCCCGATTTCCTATTTTCCATTGAATTTCACCTCGCCACGAAGCGCTGCGCCTTGATAAATGTTTCATACCTCTCTCTCTCTCTCTCTCTCTCTCTCTCTCTCTTTCTTCTTCTCTCTGACCGGACGCAGCAGCATCGTGAATATTATTACGTATAAGGTGTATGAAATTCGCGTAATTTCTATGGCTGCATGTTTGTTGAGAATAATGGAATGCGTCAAGAACGATAAATGATCCCGAGTAAGCACGTATCGACTTAATGTTACATCCAATTCTGCGACATTAATGCGATAGGGTAAACTCGGGTAAGATGGCCATACGGAAAAGATGGCCCATGGCTGTAATTTCTCCAATAATGGCTAAACAGTGCATTTTTGTAGTCATTCTCAAAGATAATCGATATTTACAGTAGTTTATGTGCGTACACTATTCAAAATAACAATATTGTGAATATTATATCATATTTTTACTTTCGACTGCCTGCAAAGTTTTTCATGTGTCCGCTAAAAGCTGCTATAACATTCAATAAATTATAGTTAAGCTGCCGTAATCAACGTTACACACATAATTAAGTTATGTAAATTGTAATTTGACCTATAATTTGTATTTCTATTTTTCACTATTTATTTAAAAATACTATGGTTATCTTTTCTGCTATGGCCATCTTTTCCTTAAAAGTCAGATAAGATGGCCAATGCATACGTTGTAATACTTTGATAATATAAAATTTATGTTAAGTGTTTTCTTCTTAATTTCGACAGTTTTACGTACTTTAAGCTTCAGTGAAAGAATATACCAAACACTGTTAAAATATAACAAAAATAAATGTATGTTTATTGCATTTTAAAAAACTATGGCCATCTTACCCGAGTTTACCCTATCAATGTTACTTACGCAGCGGTGATAATAATATTGCGCGGATCCTACTCGAGTATCGCGAAACCGTATATTTTTCG